GTTAAGGAAACATGATACTACCTTTTATTGTGCTTCATTAGAAAGCTCACAATTGATTTGTATTCATTTTTTAAAATAGATTATTTCAAAATCATCTTCCAAATCCTCAAACATGTCAGCAGAATGTTGGCCTGATGTTTGGGCCAAAGGAAAAAAATATATATATACTTAAATATTATTTGTGTGTTCAAGACTACATGGAAGAGATGAAATTAGACATTTTGCTCAAGATTACAAAAAGATGAGCAGCTTTTGTTTGAGGACTGTCAGCTGTTGTTTTCTGCTGTTAGGAAATGCAAAAAAGGCTGGCCTACTTGCGTTTATGGCCCTCTGTCTCTTTTGAAATGTCAATAATTTACTGCCTCGCTTACCCACTTTTCACTAGTTTAACACATCTCTTCAATCACTTCAATTTTTTTGACTCTTTTTCACAACATTTTAGGGGAAATGTTGTGTTCGGCTCCACAACTTTGGACTTTGCAGACAAGTTATGTGGAGGCTTCATGTGTTGTAAATAACAAATCACAGACTAACTTTCTTATGATCATGATCAAAATAATGATGATAAAAATGATAAATGGGAAAATGTGGGTTCAGAATGACTTTTCTCAAAATAATGATTCCAACCTTGGGTAAAATTAACCCAATCTGTTCAAAACAAGTGCGTTTGGAAAACAACCCAGCATCTTTTAGTTTGCGTAGAGGTTTTCACAGGATAGGGACTTGACACAGTTTAAGGGAAGAGTTCAGGGCGGACATGTTCATGTGCGCTGGCCGAGTGCTCATGCTCGTAACCCCTTCTGTAACTGAGAAGACGTTGTTTATCATAGGATCCATCGTCAAGGTTTCATGAAATAAAATTCATACACACAGTATACGTAACAAGAAGCGCGCATAAGGGGTGCGGCGGTGCATATGAGCACTGAATTTTGGACTCCAGCACAAGACAGAATCGGTAAGCCAGCCTCAATTCAAAATCAAGCCAGTCGCAACGATTGCTTCCGAGGACCAACATTCGATATACGTTTCCCACGAAAAATGGGGGAAATGGGGAAGGAAATCCATCCATCCATCCATGATCCAAAAAAATGACAAAAACCCAAGATAGTGAAAAATATTGAAAACAAAATGAAAGAAAAAAGGAATCTGCAGATTTGTAAATCTGTGGGTACAGAACCGCGAATGTGGGGGTCAACTGTAGTTTTACATTGTAATATCATCAGTCACTATTAAATGGCAGACCTGTATTACATAAGGAGGCCTGATATTTCTGGGCGAAATTGGAATAAAGTGTGAGTCAATGTGGGGTGGCTTGCCTCTGTGGTAGAATGATAGTGTCTGAAATCTGAAGTTGTGGATTCAACCCCTGGCCCTTGTGACCATGTCGAAATGTCCTTGAGCAAGATACTGAACCCCCAATCTCTCCAGATGCCGCATCATCAGTAGGTGAATGAGGACTCAACGTTCAAGCACTTTGAGTGGCTTGTTGGTGAAAAAGCGCTATACAAGTTAACCACCACAAACATAGTAACTCAATAATATTTGAATTTTGAGTTGATTTGTTTGAAAAAAATCCACAAGATTAGTTCTTGCATCTAATGTTGGTATACCGCTCAGCAGTTTTGTGCCAATCTTGAATTGTATTTTTTATGCAAGACAGCCCTTTGCACTGAGAAAACAAAAATCACAGTTCGTGGTTATGTTGTTTACATCAAAACTTTGTTCTCGTGTTAGCACAGCGGATCTTTTATACATGCATCGAAAAATGTGCTGGATTTACCCTAGGCTTTAAAATCGGGTTGCCACTGAGTGACCATTCACTTGACGTATTAAAAAAAAAGTGGCGCGGTTTTATTCAGTAGAAAACCACTAACTTCGTCGTCAGCATAACCCCAATGGTAAACTTCGTTTGTTATGTCCGCTTTTCTTTGTCAGAACTATCTTTTAGGTTCAATCATGCTTGCTTGCTTTGTTTGTCTGCTTTACAGTGTGTCCGCGGCGCTTTGCGTTTGCTGAATCGCTTAACGCTTATTAGCTGTTCGCACCCGGTAGTGCAAACAGTCGCTGGAGTCGCTTTTAAACAACGTGGGCAAAAGTGATAAAGTCAGGACTTGCAATTACAGTGGTGTCCATGCTTAGTTCTTTTCTGTTGGAGTGTTGGCGCGTCATGTTTTTCGGGCTGCATTGGAAAGTTCGAATGACGACTGTGCTTTACGCCGAGAGTGAGGAGTGCCGGCGCTTTGCTCCCGGGTTTGACCGCTGGGATTTGGAGTCCTCATGATGTTTAGACAATGAATCTTGAAGACATTATAAAATAATTTTGATTACATTTCAAACATTCCAAGAAATAATGATGACAATGACAATACATCATGCTAAAATCAATGGGTTGTCATAAAATCATGAGTGATAATACAGTATTATGCTTGATAAAATTGTTGGTAAGATGAAGGTATTAAGTTAATGAATTCATGTCTATTACATTATTTACATTGTGAAGCATGACGATAGGCACATTATTTTTTGTTGTATTCATGCTTACTTTTAGGTTATTACCTGCTGTGTGCCTCAATAAATAATCAAAGAGAACATAGCGGGTGATTGTTCCATGCTGATGAAGATCCCTATTCAGAGGGCCATGAAAGACAGAACGAACTGAACATATATGAAGAGCACGTATACACGTACAGTATTTTTTCCACATAAAAGTGTCATTTTTGTCACGTATCTGATTAGGAGTTGGGTGGTCCTATATGGTCCCCAAGTAGCGCTGATGAAAAATTGTGGCTCCTCCAGCATTTAAGTTGCTCCTCCCTGATTGAGTCACTGAATACCGGTAGATAAATTAGAAGCTACACACCAGTTACTTACTACTTGAATTTTTTTTTGTCACTCAATACTCTAACTTAAGTATTTTTTAAGTCTACTTTTTTATACTTTTAGATGGGTCATATTCTAAACTCTTATTTTACTCCATTTTTTTGGCCACTCCGCCCACATCTGATAATCATACAGTCTAGTGCTTTACATGGATGCATATGGCGTCTGTTATGATATGCTATAAATCTCCGCCAAAAGTGAATGAATGAATATATTTCTCTATACACTACGAAAAGGCTGAAAGCTAGTTTTTCTTTTCAAATACAGAACACACAAAATAAAATAATACTGAGATACTAATCAAAAGCTCCACTGCCATCATTTTTCACTTAATGTATACATTTTGCTGATATCATACTGTAAGAGCAATAGTGTGTAATTTATTGCTGATATACATTTCACAAACATTTTGTAAGTTCAATTTCTCTGTGACAAATGCATGGACCTTAATCACGATTTTTGCACTGATATGCAGACACCTACCTATTTAGTACTATTATATTTACGATGCATTATTATATAATTCACTTGAGATCTCATGCCTTATCTTTACAACATACCAACTTCATTTTTGAGATTCGTATCAGTCTTTACAGTGGTGCTTACCTTTTAAGCATCAATAGGTATTTCCGGTAGTCTAAAAATACAGGATCAACGGACTTCCAAGAGATGCTCATCATATCAAACTTCATATGTTGCCTGAGTAGGGCGGCCCGGTGGTCGACTGGTTAGCGTGTCAGCCTCACAATGCAGAGGTGCAGTGTTCGATTCCAGCTCCGGCCTTCCTGTGTGGAGTTTGCATTTTCTCCCTGTGTCTGCATGGGTTTTTTCCGGGTACTCCAATTTCCTCCCACATTCTAAAAAGATGCGTGGCAGGTTTATGGAACACTCTAAATTGTGCCTCAGTATGCGTGTAAGCGTGGATGGTTGTTCGTCTATGTGTGTCCTGCGATTGGCTGGCAACCAGTTCAGGGTGTACTCCGACTACTGCTCGAAGACAGCTGGGATAGGCTCCAGCACATCCCGCGACCCTTGTGAGGATAAGCGGATCAGAAATGGATGGATGGATGTTGCCTGAGTTTACATTATTCCAATCTATCTTGCCTCCTCAACATGTATGCCAATTTTTCTTTCGAGGTTCAGCAGGCCCAGACTCAACTTGCAACAAAATGAAAAATGGGTTGTGTTATGATAACTTCAATGTAATTACCTTGTGGGACCTAACTTTAATCTATGCTGTGCATGTTCACTTATGTGTTCAGATGTGATTTGAACTTCCATTGAAATGGGAATTTGGGCAATTGACAGGAGACGAAGCCAAAGATTTTTCCCATAAGATGTCACGGAAGATATCAAACGGTTGAGAACCTCTGCTCATGAGTACCCCGACAGTGGTCAGGAAGCAGATGAAATAGATATACTCACAATTTTAACAATTTTATGGCATTTCACGCAACAGGAAATATGAAATCACTATTTCATATGCCTCCATATACTTTATATCTTTATATCAGGATGACAAATGCTGTACTGCTGACCTGGCCTTGATTGTGATTGCACTTCTAGTTCAGTGCAAATGCTTGATACAACCAAAGAAGCCCGCACCACAGAGCCCTTCATCCTCCAAATCTATTTTAAGCAAGGGAAGAAACTGAGTCCCTTGCTAGAAAAAAAAAATGACAGCCGGGTGTCTCGGCCGCTGACAGATGACAAATGCTTCTACCAGCAACATTTTGTAATTTGCCCACCTCTGTTAAAACTACATTCCAGCCTGCATGTTCACAATTCGGCACCCACTGATTCACATTTTCCCATTTTTCCCTGGTCATTCCGATCCACATTTATGTATGTATGTACTGTATGTATACTGTATATGTATGCGTGTATTTGAAGTTGCCCATTCCTGCTCAGAAGATAATGTATTAGAGTTGAAAACAACTGCATAACACCACTTCAATAAACATTTGAGTAGAACATTTTACTTATAAGATTATTTTTTTTTGGCTCAATTTAAGGAATACAGTCGTTTGAAAACGTGAAGCAGTATTTACAATCGAAGGCTAGTTGGCTCCTCCTTTCTGGGCACTGATTGGCCGCTTCGACTGTCAGTCACCGCTGTTTACATCAAACGTTGCAAGGTGGAATTTCCCGTGTTACGGCGGCGAGCAACAGACCACTTCCGCAGTAGATGTCTTGGCACAGAGACGAGAGGCCGCCGCTAGCGGAAAGGTATATTATGTCAAAGGACACCGCTTTGTTTGTTGCTTTGTCAGGTATCCCTACGCTTTCTGACGAACGGAGTGCTTGGGCAAAAGTGTGTGTGTTAAGGGGTTTTAAAACAAAAGGAGAGCTATCTGCTTCCTGTCTCCCATTGTTATCAACCGTTAGCTAGCTGATAGCTAAACGTTGCTAGTCATTTGCATGACAACAGCAAAAACTAATAATAGCCTTCTTGAACAAGCAACGTCTCTATCACTTTGTTATTTTGCGTCGGGACTCTTTGGTATAGGCTCTTTTGGAGCTCATCGTATAATATACAAGTAGGTCTTTTTGTGGTCGACATCATTTGCCGTGAATGCTGTAGTGATCCATTGTATTAAGAAACAATGCTCGTACAGTGCTTCCCATTGCATACTGTAAATAGTGCAACCAATCTTACAAGTATATTTCTTGTTAACAGTGAGGGAGATAACAATACTGCTACTAATGCTTTTAAAGTCACTCCTGTTGCAATGAACAAAATGTGTGTGCATTGTTTTTCATTGTGATCAAACATGACCGTCACACACAAAAAAGTAAATTAATCCATTCGTGTATTTTATGCCAAAGGGATAGAGAAACGTTGTTTTGTTTAGTCTTTTTATTCCGCTCTGTTTTGGACCGACACCAGAATGAGACACAAGACAATGAGTTATTATTTAAAATACTTCTTTATCAATCTCTCTTCAGTTTTGAGGATCATGTTTAGCAAGTGAACAAATGATGGAAGGAAAAGGCCCGTACCGCATCTACGATCCGGGTGGGAGTGATGTCAAGTCCAGGGATGAGGCTGCAGGAGGAAGCAGCTATCGACAGCTCCTGGAGGAGAACAGCATGTTGAGAGAGAGGATGAAGGGTCTGAAGAGCCTTGGTAAGCTTCTATGAGGGTCCGCCATGGATGTCTGCTGCTCATTGATGCCTGCTCTACTAGGAAGGGGAATTCAAATAAATTTAAGATTTACTGTTGTGCCTTACAAACATCAAGACAGGCATCAGTCAGTGCTATAAGGCGTATAATTAGTGCATTTTTAACAACAGATTGAAGTTATTTCTTTTCTAGTTTAAAATCAGACTTTGCTGACTAATTCAGCCTTATCAGTTTTGCATTACTTAAGCTGTTTTGGCAGCAAACTGTAGGTAGGCCTGGATTGTTTGTTTACTCTATGAAGTTTACTGCAGAGTAGTGAATCTAGTGTGCTTTTTTGTTGTTGTTGGATTAATGTATAGTGGCAGAAAGATTGAAGTTCATTGAGACACCTGTCAGAGCAATCAAATCAATCATTAACATTTATATTGTCATTAAACAAGAGCATTTTATTGATAAAATGCTGTATCGGGAACCAGGTTATTATAGTTACCAAAATAACTAAAATTAAAATTGATAAAACATTGTGCCAATGAAAATACAATGACTGACTGGAACTACATTTAACATTTATAAAACTAAATAAAACTATAAACATAGTAAAAAAAAGTCCTTCATTTTTGTCTTTGACGGTTAATACCATTGATGAGTTTTCAGGGTTTCTTTTAAATGTATTTATTTCAGTATTACTGTATGGCTGCACAGAAGAAGGAAAGTCAAACAGTCGTATGGGAATTGTAATTTACTCTTCGATGTTGCACAAAACTTTGTGGCCCTTTTTAAAACATTTTTTTTTATCTTGCACTCAACGAAGACTCCGTATAAAAAAGCGAATACTAAAACTAGTAAGACTACATTAAAACAAATATTAAAAAAAAAAAAATAGAAACGAGCAAACTGTCTCTAAAAACAAATTAAAACGAGCAGAATTTTAAGAACAAAAGTTCAAACAAAATAAAAATGAAACCAAAAAAATTATAACTCTGGTTGGGAATCAATTGTCAAAATGCATGAAATCCAGCGCACTCGCACGATGATTGGTGTCAGAAAAGATTCTCTCATATTCAAATGATGGGAATACAGGAGTGACTGACATGCAGCACATAAAAACAAAAAATGTAGTAAAACCTGAACACGGGTAGTTTTTGACTATCGCACTGCCTGTGACTCATTTTAGGAGTGTTACATGTTCTTCAAAGTATTGTATTCTTGTTGCTGGCATTGACATACTTCCAAGCTTGCTGAAACTGTACTTTGTTCAACTAAGCAGCCATCTATCTGCAGGTGACTTACTTGAAGAGTCTCAATTAGAAGCGTCGAGGCTTCGTCAGCGCGTGGAGGAACTTGTGAGAGACAACGAGGCCCTCAAGTCCTCCAGCTTTGCTGCCAGTCTGTGCGCTGGTGTACACGCTCACACAGAAACGCAGAGTAGGTGTCATTTATTTTCATATTTGTGGGTGACACTGGCTATATTTACACAACGATGGTGTTGATGCCCCCCTCCCCCCCACCCTACGCTAAGGTAAACCTTGTTTGCATCCCACTGCTGAGCCGAAAGAAGCAGATGCAAGCTGTTTAGCAAGGGCCATGCAGGCCAACAGACTTAACGTGAGTGTGAACTTTTCGAGGATTGCAACGTTACATTTTGACTGGTGGAACTTTTATTGATGGGGGTGTTGGCTGGTGTTGCCTAACGCGACGGCTTTTTACAGGACACCTTATCAGAGTTCGAAGCGGTCAATATGGAAAGGAGGACGTCAGATGCCTTGACTGTATGTACCAATCTTACTTTGACACTTATAACTTGAGCTTCCATTTTAGAAGTAGAATTTAAAACTTGTCTCAGTTTTATGCCTCTGATAAATGTGTCATCTACTTCAGGCTATATGTACACCCTTTTCGAAATAGCCATTTTCCCAACAATAGAAACCTGTCCTGGTGAAGTAACCCGGTAACTCATTCAATACTGGCGGTTTTAGCCTGAGTCAACCAGGGAAAGTCCAGGATTATTACTGACTGGAATCACACATGATTCAGTCACATGTTGCATCCTAAGGAATGTGGTCATTAGATACTCGACCAGAATACTATTTAATGTGATGTGGTCATATTCTAAAATAACTCGGACTACCACATGTGACCTGTGTATTTGCGGTTAGATTGTTAGTCACTATCTCTGGTCAACTTCCATTATTGTTTTTTTTTTTTTCTTCTCTCTCCCAGCTAGCTCAACTGGTTTGACAGAAGTTGTAGCATGATGATTCCTACAGCCTGATTCCTTTTTTTTTTTTTTTTAATGCATATTATATATACTGAGTCAGCTTGAAAGAGAAGTTTGATCGACTGACTTTTAACAGGGCGGGTGTGCTTAATTTCAGGCCCGGTCTGCAATAGGAGTCATCCCTCTCTTGCCTCAGGAGAACGTCGAGCTGGCTAGCCAGCTGAAGAAATTGGAGAGCTCCTTCAGCATATTCGCAGAAGAGTCCAACCCAAACCAGCTGTTAGCTCACCTGGGTCGAATGGCTGTGGAGTTTCACCATCTTTCCTCAAAGGTCCAAAAGAATGAACTGAGGACATCCCTCCTACAGGTATGTGACCAGTTTGAATTGGGAGAAATAGCATAAATGCAGACGTTTCTTTGTGTGAGAGATGAGAATTTGCATGCAAATTGAGCACCACAATTAAGCTTCAAGAACAAATTTGTGGCTCATTTGGGTCGCATGCGTTTTTACAATTCTCACTGCAAACATTTGATTGGTTTGGAAATACTGTTCTAAATGGCACCAACATAGGAAGAGTTGATCTGACAGTTTTCTGCTTTCTAAGGTAGGAATTACAGTAGAGCCACAACAGAAGACATGATGTCGTCTGTTTTGTAAAGGGTGTGGAGTTACATAGTCAACATTCAAACAAATTGCTCCCTACATGCAAAGCCCTAGGGGGCATTTTTGCATGGTATTTTTTGGGGTGGGGCTATGATGACTGTGACGTTTTGACCAGCCTTGCCGTCCTCGGTCGATTTTTCTTTCTTTAACATTTTGGCTAAAGACTAGGGCTGAACGGTTTTGAAAAATACTCTGAAATCCAATAAAATTGGTATTATAGGTTAATCATAGGTAAAGCTAAAATTAAAGCAAATCAACCATGAATTAATATGAAAGACAGTTTATTTTTCTACTTCAGTTAGTGTTGTTCCTTTAACATTTGCTGCGTTTTAAGCACTGAATACGGCAACTACACAAAAGTCTACCAAACGTAAACATAAATCAGTAAGTCATAAATCACAATTACAAAAAAATTGCAAATTAATCTGTGGCTTTATCACCTTAACTTTTTAATGTTTCATGAAACAGATGGGTAAACACGTAGACTGCATTTCTTAAGCACTGCAGTAGACACTAAATAAATGAAATATACATGCCATACATATAGAAAAAAAATCCGACCGACCGACCAAAATTAAACACATTTCCCAAATCTCAGCATGTGTAATTTGAAAATTATATTTACTACATTGCCAATGTTAATTTGAATTTGAAACCCGTAACTGTTCAGCCCTACTCAGGATGTCATTTTTTTTGGTAAATACTTTTTCAGACAGATGGTCTTAACTTTTCGATTGGCTGATTCCATATTTGTGTTTCTTGTGTCAAGATTCATACTGTGATTTTTCCAGTAGTTCATACTGCAGTTCTAAACAGAGTAGGCTCATACCACATTATTTATTTTTTTTTTGTTCTTGCACAATGGGTTTTGCTAGTTGTGTATGCAAATTAGAGAGGGAAAAAAACGATTTCCACGTCACATAGGAAGGCTTGTGTATGCACTCGCATGTACTTCGTAAGACTGGGTGGCATTTCTTCATTCTGTTCTCACACTCGTTCACTGAAAGAGCAATCTCTTATAGTGTTGGCAGCTAGATGACATAGAATATGTTTACAATGAATTCAACCAACATTTTTCGTACAGACTCTATGTGAACAGCTTAGAGAGGAGAACAATGAGCTGCGGAAGAAAATGGAAGAGGATCATCATATCAGGAATCGAGACTTGGAACAGCTGAGGTAATATTTTTATTTATTTATTCCGCCCTGGTTTGACGCTTGGTAATTTTCTTTCCAACAATGGTCTTAACTCATCTTCATTTTAGAAATCAATGATTAGTAGATTAGTCGTAGTATTTTTTTAAAACTGGAATTTTTATATCTACTTTTATCTTGTAACACTTTGAAATTGTTCATGCACAATAATATAATAATAACTTTTCATCAGTTAATTAATAAAAAGTGAGTATATACACTGACCAGTTACATTAGCACGACCTGCACAATGTAATCTGTAATGCAAGATCTATATGGAAACTTCTGCATTTTGAAAAAGTAATCATATTTATTTTGGCGAGACACACTTGGAAGGGTGTTTATTTAACAACCTGTTTATTATTGTGATAGTAATTAACAGTGGTGTTAAACTGCCCAACAACATTTAGGCCCTTCTTGACAGTTCTGCTTTCTTGAGCTTTACTAAACTCCAGGAACACGTATGAAACTTTCAATTATAATCAAACAAACACGTTATCCTTTGACAAGAAAATAATCGTAAGTCAGTTGTGTGATCAGTACCACATATCTTTGTGCTGCTTGCCAGCTGCACATGCTTTCACTTTTGCCGGGGAATATTGTTGATTGAATTTGTTACGCCTTTTGGAAATGGTAAGGTATTACCGGTACCCAAATATATCCTGAACTTGGACCAGGGCCTTGTTCGCAGGTCCTGTTCAATAAAATGTTCATTGTACTGGTGCTTTCAGGCAGGAAAATCAGAAACTGAAGGAACTTGTGACAGGTGGCGCAGCAGTGGCGTCAACGTCAGCAGCAGCAGCTGCAGCGTCATCGTCATCATCGTCATCTGCGGCAGCATCTGACACTGAAGCTCCCAAAACCAAAGATGAGACCGTTAAAGAAGAATGTACCACGGTGAGACCGAAGATAGAAGCCTCTACCCCTCAGAAGGTAGCTAAAATGAAATGATCAAGCTGTCATTTTTTTTCCATTAAAATTGTCACACATACAGACAATATTTTACAAACGTAGGTCATCATTACTCTTTTATTGCTTGCATACTGACAAAATTAGTGAAAAATATACATCTATGGCATGCAGAGAAACCTCAAACTAATAAGTGCATGACAAAAAAAAAAAGAAAAAAAAATCTTTAAGCTCACTGACTCAGTTGCTCAATGAAGCATCCCACTGTGGGATGTACTGTATGTAATGCAACAAATGTTCTGTGTGCCCCCAGAGTGGAAAAGCTGCTGAAAAAAGTCCAAACAAACCTTGTGACGTCGAGGTTTATGAAAAGAAGATAAAGCTCCTCGAGAAGCAAAGAAAAGATGCAAGTCTTTTCCTCTTGTTGAGACCAGTCCTACTATTGGATAGTATAGTCAATGAGTTTCCTATATGCTCGTTTGTTTTGCGTCATGTTTCTGCACAGGTACTGGAGGTGAATAAGCAGTGGGACATTCAGTGGAATTCAATGAAGTCACAGTTTGAACAGAAGGTGCAGTAATGACTAAGACTGCTATGAGGGTGAAAGGAAACATTACTGTGCCCTCTGGTTGTAGCCTGTTACAGCACGTCTATTTTCATTTTACCACAGTCAAAGTAGTAACTAAGTAAAATTCACATTTATGCCCTCTTTTTTTTTTTTTTTTTTTTAAGGACATTTGGTTTTGTAGCCTCACACAGCTGGTGTAAACTACAACAGCCAAAATATTATTTTAAAAAAATGTCGATTCATTTACCGTTGTCCGATAAGATAAGAAAACATTTATTTGTCTCACAATGGAGAAATTCCCAATTTACAGCAGCAGAATTACGACAGGGAGAGTAGGAAGAAGTATATAAATAAATATATATGATAAAATATAAATACAAGCATATTAAAAATAAAATAAACATTGTGTATGATTTTTTTTTTAAATGCTCGCAGAGAGAGAAAATAAATACGAGTGCCAGAAAAAATGTAAAATAGATGAGCAACATCAATTTGCCCACAATAATTTTTTTTTTATCCTTGGGATGGACTCAATGTATTAATTGTTAATGAAAGTTGTTATTAGACTTGCAATATGAAGAGTTAAAATAAATTAAGGGCACCAAGCTTTTAAATGACAGATTGCATTGTCGCAGCTGTTTGCTGTGCGCTGTAGAGTGGAAAAGACACACTCTTGCAATAGCTAACCTATCTGACCCTTTTTTTTTTTTTTTTTTTTTAAGGACATTTGGTTTTGTAGCCTCACACAGCTGGTGTAAACTACAACAGCCAAAATATTATTTTAAAAAAATGTCGATTCATTTACCGTTGTCCGATAAGATAAGAAAACATTTATTTGTCTCACAATGGAGAAATTCCCAATTTACAGCAGCAGAATTACGACAGGGAGAGTAGGAAGAAGTATATAAATAAATATATATGATAAAATATAAATACAAGCATATTAAAAATAAAATAAACATTGTGTATGACTTTTTTTTTTAAATGCTCGCAGAGAGAGAAAATAAATACGAGTGCCAGAAAAAATGTAAAATAGATGAGCAACATCAATTTGCCCACAATAATTTTTTTTTTATCCTTGGGATGGACTCAATGTATTAATTGTTAATGAAAGTTGTTATTAGACTTGCAATATGAAGAGTTAAAATAAATTAAGGGCACCAAGCTTTTAAATGACAGATTGCATTGTCGCAGCTGTTTGCTGTGCGCTGTAGAGTGGAAAAGACACACTCTTGCAATAGCTAACCTATCTGAGCATACTTACCACACGCGCTGTCAGTGAGAATTCCCCTTAACCACTGTTATATCTGCTGACCTGCTCTTATGGTGCAATCGGGGGGAGCAGACACACACACACAGACCGACAGACGCACATTCTGTAATCGCACCCTCAATCACAAACAAACGTGCCGCTTCTTCGTACATGGGCACACCATGTTGCTCCATATCCATTTGCGTCAATAGGCATGCTGTTATTTCACACCCAAATACATGTGACATTGCAGATGTCTTCGTTACTGTGGTTTCATAGATAACAGATTTGCATGACTACCTAGCTCATGTTTACCTACGTAGAATAATACACACGCCCTCAAAAGTGCAGCTAAGCATCAAGAATCTGGTATGTCATGGATATTATGAAAGTCCTTGATCCTCTCACAGGAAATGCTTTTAACTTAACAATGCAGATCACTGACCTCAGGCAGAGGCTAGCCGATTCTCAGAAGACTGTGCTTGAACTGGAGGCGGAGCGAGAGCAGAGGCAGCGCGACTACGACAAGAAACTGCTGCTGGCGAAGTCCAAGATTGAAAATGTGCAGGTGAACAGAATTGATTTCAAAATGGACATTCAAGTAAAAGGACACCCGTTTTGAAAACGCTGGCGCTGTTGTTTCAGGGTGAGAAGGAGTGTCTAAACACGGAGACGACTGAATTGAAACAGAAAGTTCGCTACCTGCAGGACCAGTTGTTGCCTCTCAGTAAACAGCGGGAGTACCAGGAGAAGGAAATCCAACGTCTCAACAGGGTCAGTGAAAAGGGACATCAAATAGGTGGCCTGAGAGCTTTACTCTTTTCTTTTTTTTGAACAAATACAAACAATGAATGAATCTATTACAATAATATCAGATTTATTCTACGTAAATGTTTTGGTTTTAAAGCTTATGCTAAAATAAAGGCAAATGAACCATGAATTCATATGGGAGACGGTTTGTCTACTTCAATTAGAGTCAACTTACGAAACAGTTAGACTTGCAGTTGCAGTCTTTTAATTAAGACCACTTGACAAATTCTACCCAACAAATGTAGCATAAACATGGAAAGTCAGGAACAAATGTGTGGCTTTATCACGTCAACTTTTTTTCATGCTTTATGTAAACGTGGACTAAACTTCTTACGCACCGGCCTTATTTAGGGACTATAACAATAAATATACAGTATAATAAAATAATGGTTCAAGTAATTTTTTTCAGAAAATATGAAAAACTGAACCACATACTGATTAGGATATATTTTTTAATAGTTTCATTTCGAGAGTAGATTTGATCTATTTAACAAAGGATGTGGCCGATTTTAGCGTAGGTAGCCAGCATCCTAAGATTTTTACGGCAAAAAATATATTTTTTCGTCAAAATATGACTGAGGCGTATGCATGTTCTGTATATAACAAATAAAGCCTACCAGCAGACCGAAATGAAGCCCTTTTTTTTTTGTCTTCCAAATAGCTCCCTTTGCGTTTTGAAAATTTGTATTGTACAACATTCCGATGTGAATTTGAATTCGGTAAATTGTTCAACCCTAGTTTACATTTTACAAACAAAAAAACCAAAAAAAACTTTCCTCTTTTTCCAGGCTTTAGAAGACGCCTTAAATTTACATGCCCCATCATCCTCCCAACAACAACCTGGCCAGGACGCTGCCAATCACCTGAAGAAACAGGAACTACTCACCCAAATCGCTGTTCTAAAAGAACAGGTCAGACAAAACATGCATTTCAAAATGAAATTTTGCTGTAGTTGTGCATTCATCTCCTCATCTGTTCATTGTAATTTTGGTGTAAATCAGGTGAAAATTTTTGAAGAAGACTTCAGAAAAGAACGCAGTGACAGAGAGCGAATGAATGAGGAAAAAGAAGACCTGAGGCGGCAGGTGGAGCGACTCCAGATTCAGATTACGAATTTGACCAATCAGGTAAGCGACCTGATGAGGACATTGAGGATGAGAGTTGACCGCCTGAGTTGGTGCTTCCTTTGTTGTCCTCCAGCTGCATCAGGCGCAGAACGAGTGTCAGCGAGAACACACAGAGCGATGCAAGCTCGAAAGACTGCAGATGCAGCATCACAAGCAGGTAGCGTGTGAATGAAAGCCCGAGTGAGAACGTGTCGGTGTGTGTGAAAGAGTTTGCATGGGCGAGCTGATACGGTATGTCAGGAGAATTCCAAAGCCCCAAATGCTCACCGCATGATTTTATGCTGACAAACTAGTGCCCAGTTGTGACCAGTCGGAAGTCACTCATCTTAAGTGTATGGGGTCGACACGAGAGCCTGACTCCACTTCTCATGTTTGTCAGTGCATCCGGTGTCTCAGCGGTTAGCCACGCCGTAACCGGGCCACGTCTGTGCTCGCTCAGTTTACCATCCATGCACTGATCGGGGATCACATGTGTACTTGTGATCCCTCGTAGGGGCAGCAGCAGGAAAGACGTACCTCAGACCCCACGTCGGGCTCAGTGAACGGCCCGCTGAGCCCCCCCTACTGTGGTCCCTTTGTGCAGGTGGGACCGCAGGGCCTTGAGGGCTGGCCCGTACACTTCCATCCCCGGATGCCCAATGCAGCAGGTGCCACGGCAGCAACCGCCACAGCTCCGCCCCCCATACGAGACTTCCAGCCTGTTACCCCGGTAAGGGTCCTCAAAGGTCCCTACATCTGTCTCACTGACAGAACCAGGCTCTCTCCTCTGCCTCTATGTCAGGTGTTATGTTGGGAGAAACACGCGAATGACGGAATTAGGTCTTCTGCTTAGTGAATACTGAGTGACGAGGCTCTGCAGACTTCTGTTATTACATTACGACAACAGAAGCCCCGTTCACACGGCAACGTTTGGTCCGACGCAGCTCCGAAATAAATCCAGTCGAGCATTCACACGTGCACATTTGCTCCGGCGTAGCTCCACTAAAGAGCTTATACCGGACCAAATTTGATCCACCTCAGGGAGGTCGTTTAAAAATTTGCTCCAGAGCAAATGCTCGTTTGCGACGCTACGCCGAAACAAATGTGCACGTGTGAACGCAGCTGGATTAAATTTGCTCCAGAGCAAATGCTCGCTTGCGGGGGAGTGGCCTCGCTACGCTCGCTACCAGACGCACGGAATCCGACCCCAGGCCCGAGCCTGAAGCAAACCCGACATTTCATATTTTATTTGTGAGTATTTTGGGGAGAAAAAAACGCAAGATTTCTTACGGTTAAAATAATCTACATATTTTTATGAACATTATCAATGCATTTGCACAACGAAATAACGCTGAAATACAGAATAAGAGGACAGGCAAAGAGAAATCTCGATGTGCATTTGCTTGATTACGCAGAGAAATCCTGCGGCTTCCTAGGCTTTAAATAGAATAATTCAAATGAAATAAATAGGTAAAGATATCTGAAATTTTTTCTACAGGATTGTTTTAAACGAAATTAACATACGTGCGCACTGGTCTGGCCGGCCGCGCTCCTGTTTAGCAGTGAAATAGCAATTAAATTACAGCGCATTCTCTGTTATATCCAAATTGTTTGTTTTAAAACAAGTATTCCTTAGTTTAGTATCCGCACATTGTTTTAGTATACATTTTTTAAAACATATATTGTGGCAGTCATAAGGAGCACACACGATTGACTGTAAACACGTCTTTATTCCACGACTGCCGACAAGTGGATCTATTCTGAACAAGGACAGAATAGTGTCCACCATAATATTTATTAAAAGAAAAATAAATAAAAGTCCGCGAGAGAGAAGCCCGACCCGAACCTGTTTTACTTCCGCATTCCTGTCGTTTTGGTCCGGAGCAGAAATTGCACGTGTGACCGCAAGTGGAGCTGCTTCGACGCTGCGCCGGAGTTGTCACGCTCAGCGGCTTTGCACGTGTGACCGCTCCACAAAATTTGATCCGGTGTAAAATACATCGCAACAAAATATTTCGGTGCAGCGTCGGACCAAATGTGTGCCGTGTGAACAGGACTAGAGACTTTGGGCTTGCTGTTCGCGGTAAATCATTTCGTATATATTGAGTTGCTTGAATGATGATGATGTCATTGTGTCTTCCAGGGTTTTCCGTGGCAGTCCTCGTCATTTCTACAGCCCAGAGGACCCAGAGCGGTGGGGGAAAGTTCACGACCAGCGCCAGATAATGCAGGTAAAACAGTGGAGCAGGGCTGCAACTAAATTAATTCAAAGCGCATCAAATTCACAAACACAAATGAATTAAGATTCAGTTGTGGGTTTGGTCTGTAACTTGTCAGAAAATGGAAAAACATGTTGATCATTGTTTTTCAAAGTAAAAGTTTGATTTCTTATGTCTACCTTGCAGACCAGTCCACGGCGGCGGCAGCAGGAGGAGCAGGAGGAGCAGGAGGGGGAGGATTTGGAAAAAGAGAGCGTCAGAATATAGATCCCGGAAAGCACTAAAGTGTCACCGGATAATGGAACTTGGGTCGTAGCATGAAATCAGTTAGTTTTGCTTTGAAAGGGTGTGATTTGATCTATAATTTTCCTACTGAACTGTAGATATCCTATTGTAATGTTGTTTATACTTGCGTTTTATAAGGCTATTTGTGGAACACTTCGCTTTCCTGAATATAAACATGAACGATTTCGATTTTGTTTTTTTTTTAAATCATGAATTGAGATCTTTTGTTAAATAGGTAGGTGACTTAACACTCCTTTTTTCCCCCCAGAAAATCGAACTTTTTATGTTGTAACCTGCAACAACTTGATTTACAAACTTATATGGTTACAGCAAGCCGTTCCCTGTACGAGCAAAACCATTCTCATTCCAACAATGGATGACAACGTGGGTGAATTCAATCACTGAATTTACAAAGTAAATGTTAATTGACCTGAGAAGACTTCCGCAGTACATTGATGTGATAGAAACGTCCCGTATGTGTAACTGGTCAAAATGTGGTTGTTGCATACAAATGTTTGGGGGGGGTAGGGGTCTTGAGGGGATTTTGACGTATCATACCAAAAACATATTTGTGATCGATAATTTATTTATAACCTGCTGTTTTGATAGTTGCATTGACTCAGTGTGAATCATTGTCTTTCAGTAATGCTGCTTAATGTTGTGAGTGTATTCCCGATATATTGTAGCTCTTGACATTTGTGTCAGACACAACACATACCCAAGCCTTTCTTTTCACCATGATGATGGACCTAATCTCATTAAACAACACTTCTGTGACTTTATTTGACCACCTATGTCACTATCTTGTTATCTCGTGCACATTTTTTTTTTTTATCCCTGTGCAGTACCCAACAGTTGTCTTCTAATAGCTGCTAACTTACTAATTCATTAGTACAGATACAGTTGCCAGAGCAGAGGAAGTCTGGGTTCATCTTTGAAACCCGTGCCTTGCTGTATGTAACACTTAGTCAGGAGCCATGGTGTAATGTGTAGGAGGCCACTTAAATTTTATTATTATTTTTTTTAACTGTCTCAAATTCACACCAGTGTCTGAACCGAATATTCACTAGGATTTCTTGCGTATCGAACATTATGAGGAAATTGGATGAAGGCCTTCAAAAACTGCACAAGCTGAGATAGTTTCATTTTAACCGACTTATTAGGTTACCATGAACCGAATCGGATTGGTGGGAAGTGAAGGGAGACGTGCACTTTTGAAACGGTATTCTTTGATTCCTGGCAGTTGTATTTCTTGGTTTGCAGCCCCTTTTATGTTTGCTGTAGGTAAAAGCACATGTGAGACCTTTTGTATTTGACTGGCTTAATAAATCGATTCTAAATGTTTACTTTGCATGATGCATACTGCATTTTTTTTTCATTTTTCTGCGTCCGCAGGGGTTACTGCACGTTTCCAGTAGCACTAGCTTCTTGACAGATATATGCAAATAATTTACAAGTTTATAGATGAGCTTTTGTGTAAGGGTGTGTCCATGGTCTTGAAAACAATTTGGTACAAATTTAGAATTCAGTTTCATTTCAGTGATCAAGGCCCTCTCTTTTTTTCCCCTTCAAGTTTTGCTTAAATTCCTCTGAGCAACACACGTGGACACCAGTGACAATGTAGGCAAACTAAAATTGGGAGTCCACATCCCATGGGACATATACAGCCCACCGTGAAAAACAAAATGAGTATTCTACAAATGCTTATCATAAGCATGTGTTCAATCATTTAGTATAGACCAAGGTATTATAAACACTAACGAAATAACCCAAACTAAAGCTGTAGACAATGATTTGAAAAGCATGAAAACTACATCTTAAATTTATAACATGAACAAAAATAAAAAATATAGCCATAGTATTCTTTGTTTTTGTCATGTTCATACATGAGCTTTGGAGGTTCATTTAAAATGCATTTCTGTATTGCTGTATGTCCACACATAACACGAAACGGTCAATTGAGAATTGTAGTTTCGTGTATTACACTATCCTAAATGACTTTTTAAAAATCTTGCACTCACCAAATATTCCATACATTAAAAAAATGAAGCATTTTCCATCCATCCATTTTCTCATGCGCTTATCCTCACAAGGGTTGCGGGCATGCTGGACCCTATCCCAGGTGTCTCTGGACAGTAGGCAGGGTACACTCTGAACTGATCGCCAGCCAATCACAGGCCTCGCATAAAAAACATTCACACCTAGGGACAATTTATAGTGTTCCATTAACCTCCCATGCAGGTTTTTAGAATGTGGGAGGAATCTCGAGTTCCCAGAGAAAACTCAGCAGGCACGGAAAGGCCGGACCTGGAATCGAACCCTGCATCTCTGCACTGCGAGGCCGATATGCTAACCAGTCGACCGTTCCGCCCATGAAGTATTTTCAAAAATTTAAAAAGTTGAAATAACTAAATATGATGGAAAAACTAGTACAACCCTGGTATGGACTGAAAGGCCCATTACAGGGAAACATTCCCTTGCCCATGTTACTTGTGCACTATTCATTTCAAGATAGAAACATGACATCATTCCCACACCCCTCACACATGATCTGCATTCCAGTCAAAGATTGCAAACAAGTGCACAGTTGCCATTAGTTTATTAGAAGTTGTTGACATCGAGGCTGTAAATGCCAGCAGGTTCCAGTTTGTGAAGATAACATGATGCTGTGAGATATAGCAAGACAGCTTGAATGCACTGAAAAGCTGGCCTTGAATCTCAGACTCCAAAGAGGCTCCACAGACACTGTTTTCAAACCTCTTCTTCATTTAGCATGCTACCATCAAGTTAGAGGAAACGGCAAGATTTACATCAACTTTACGACATCATGGACAATCTAGTTGAAAACCTCCTCTGTGTAATGCTGGAGTAGGTATTTGCGTATACCAGCTCGCACCTCGGAAACACTGACAGCCGGGTGCCATCTCATCACAGGTTTTCCATCCGGGCCAACCAGGAACTTTTCAAAGTTCCACTTGATGTCGCTGACTTTCAATGGATCCCAGAAAAGCCTGTTGGTGGGGTTACCAAAGTTGTCTGAGACCGGAGGACAGGAGCTCTATTGAGAGGCCGGAGTACATACAGGTAGGTGAGGAATGAATGGCATTCTTTATTGACAACAACAATTACCTCCGTTTTGTTTTGGTTCTGAAGGAAATTCTGGGTCATCCAGTTTTCAATTTGATGTAAATACTGACACAAATCGTTAACTGAACACCTGTCATCTGTATAGCTATGATAAACATCATTGGTCTTCTGAAGCATTTGACCGAATGGTAATATTTACAGACTGAACAACGGGGTCCAAGAACTGACCCTTGAGGCACCCCACGTCATGGTCATTTGATCAGATTTGAAAATCTTCACAAAATAACTCTTTTCCTCCAAGTCGGCCGTTCACCATTTTAGGACTGTTCCATTTAATCCCGTCGTCAATGTTTCCAGCCTTTTCAACAATATATTATGATCAACTGTATCAGACTGAGGTCCCATAAGACTAACACAAACAACTTCCCTTGCATCTGTGTTCAATCTTATGTCATTTCGTAGCTGTGCTGTTTCTGTGCTCTAATGTGGTCGGACACATGTTTTACATTTATTGAAGAGTCCCTTTGAGTTTAAAAAAAAAAAAAAAGAAGTGGCTGGGTTGATTAAAAATTACTTTCGGAAATCTTGGTTAAAAAAAGGGGAAGGTTTGAGATGGGGCTATAATTTGCTAACAGGGAAACATCAGGTGCTCTCTTTTTTTGAAGAAGAAGTGGTTAGACACCAACTACTTTAAGGGGTTTAGGAAGCTCGCCTGACTCAAGTGAGCAGTTGATTATTTGCTGCAAATTAGCAAAGATGCCACAATAGTCTGAAATAAGTCAGATGACACTGAGTCAAGACAGCTAGTTGATGGTTTCAGCTGCTGAACCAAGTCCATTATACTGTGTAGTTATTTATTTATTTATTTTTTTTGATTCTCTATCAAATTCTGACAAGGTAATGGAGTTATTCCTGGGTAGTTTTAAGTGTCATTTTGGGGATTTTGCTGGTTTCAAATTCATAACGCAGCAACTCAGTTGCTGGTTTGAACTGAGGTTTGACCTAATATGTTATACTTTCTCCAGGAACATAGCAGGCAAATTCATTCCAATTATCTGTTGAAAGAAGTTGTGGCGCTATTTAATTTGGAGGATTACCAGTTCATCAACCAGAGCAAATAGTGTGTGTTGTTGAGGTTCTTGCTAATAATTTCATTAAATTCTTGTCTAGCATTTACAAACTCTTAAAATGACGAATGCATTGTTTATACAAGTGTACTGAGAAACAAAGGGGTACATTTTCAGCAAGTTGCAAAAACCTACCTTGAGGAAGGTATACACCCCTTGCTCGTCTTTCCCATTCACATCACCTTTCTCAAACAGCAGAAAGTTTGGAACAAAGTCATTACCGGGTCTGACATGCCTGGAATTCAAACAGGAAAGCTTATCAGAGGTTAGTCTTTCAACACTTCATGAGCTGCACCTTGGAAGCTGGCCCGAATTCCCTCCTAGCTACAGTCTAGTACAGAGTCTGTGTCCTCCCTATAAGATGACTGATAGAATATGAGCTGGGAATTCTCCAGTGAAAGGGCACCAAAAGAATGACCGATTGTTAGCAAGCAGATTAAATAAAGCCTTGCTGACTGACAGGATTTAGAGTTACAGTGAACCTCGTTTATCACGGGGGTTAAATTCCTAAAAGAACCCGGGATAAGCGAAATGCATGAAGTAGTCAGTGTAACTTCCCCTAAAAGGTTTTCTTCCTAGTTTAGAAAGACTTGAGGAGTCGACCGATGTTGAACAGCCTCGACGGTCCACACGTCCATCGCTGATGAACACCATTTTTTGGTGAAAAACGATCACAAAAATATACAATTACACGATGTGCAACATACTTAAATGCATCTCAATACCACTAAACACAGACATGGCCCTCTAAACAGGAATTTAGAATTCTTGCCTATGCACCTCACTCTTATGTCTCTTTCCTCAAACTGATTTAACTCCTAATCAACATTCATCACTTCGTACCACTCAATGCAATCTTTAAATATAACAGCAGGGGGAACAATAACCTAAATAAATATGGAGTCTTTAGCAAATAACATATCCTGTCATTTCACTTGCCATCATGCAGAAAGTCACATTATTTAAATATTATCATGAACTTAGAATCACAACTTATAGTCAGGTTTAGTTTTCTTACAATTATTATCCAACTGTATTATAGAATGAAACCAAAGATCAAAACCTGTTTTTGTTGCAAACATAAATTTGGCAAGATGTACAGACACGAGGCGCGGAGACTGTTGACATTGGTCTACAGTCCCTTAGCCAATCGGGATGCAGAACACAATGCACTGTTTAAATGTAAAAAAAAAAAAAAAAGTGAAAGGTGAACCGTGTTATAGCGAGGTTTCACTGTATTGCAAACGGCACTAGAAGGGTCCAGATAAAATTCTCCCAGCACACTTAGCACTGCATAACCTGAGAGCTTACTTCAAAGCTGGCAGGATATCACGGTTATTCCCGGGTTCCTGTTTCCCAAATTGATTGCAAGGGAAGCCAAGAATAGTGAGTCCGTGAATATTCATCTCCTCCTGAAGTGCATTCAGCTCTGCACAAGACAGGAGATACATTCAGCACACTTAAAATATCACCCTTAATATATTCTATGCTTATATTTCATTTGTGTGTTTGGTCACTTACCAACGTACTGAAAGGTGTAACCTCAGTACGTTGCCACGTTGACAAAGAGGACAGTCTTTCCCGCGAAGTGACTGAAGTTAATCGAGCGACTGCCATTCAAAGGCTTGGCCTGGTATTGGTAGATGGTGCCATTTGCGGGTGGGTTGCACCACTGGGGGTAACACACACGTTAATTCTGATTGACGAAGGGCGTGCGGGGAGCAGAATAATTCTTTGCAGAAAAACACACAATTCACCATAAAAGAGACAAAATCTAACTTGTGCAGTATTTTTTCTGAAAAGTCAGATGCTGTTGGTGCTTAAAAGACTGTAAGATGAGAAATGGGAGAAAGGGGCCTTGAAAAAAAAAAGAAATAATGGCAATCACAATATTGAGTTGGGAGGAGACGGGGTCGCGATCAGATTATTTTTCAGAATTGTTAAACCCTACCGAGGGCGCTTGTTAATTAAGATGTGTTTGCAAAAATGCAATTCATCGCTCTTATATTGATATGTTTGGAGCAATTTTTTTCACATCCTTTGCATCCCTCTTTTGTTTTCCTACAGGCTCCCTGTCCATGTGCACACAGTGCCATCAGCTCCTGATCTGTCAAGCAATCGGCCTATTGGGCTGACTGATACTTTCTGCTTTTATCGCTTTAGTCTGATCGACTTCCCTTCGATCTCAAGTGGCCTGAAAACCTGACAAGAAAAATGTAATTCTGTTGAACTAAACCGCTGTCCAGCAGACGATACATTTTGACTCTATTTGTGAACAATGAATCACAAACAATTTGTGTTGAAGTGAAGACACATTGAAAGTACAGTACAGCATAGAGAAATGATTCTCAAACCGAGGTTCGGATGACCATTTGGCTTGGCTCTTAAAAGAGAACCACAGGTTGTTGCTTTACTTCCATTTTGTTTCGTACGATACATTATTACAATCTCAATCATTGCCTACCTGTGGAGTTGTCCTGTTGACTGGTCTTAGAACAGGTGTTACTTTTTCTGTCACTGTGGATCAATATTTATTTCAAGTTAATTTAAAGGAGAGTCTGCAAACATTCAGTCAATGTCGCTCCACAGCAAGGGGTGCCATTTGTAGGGTAGTTTAGTGCTTGTCGCTTTGCTCAACTGATATGAAAAAGGAACGAATCAGTTGATGCGTGAACTTGGTATCTTTTTATTTGGGCTGGGGGGGTTAATCTGGTGCGCTTTTAAAATTTTTCAATGTGCTTGCACAGCTGCACACCACTTCCATGCACCCCTAACTAGAGTGGTATTCTGCGTTACTTATTCATGGTACGCAAAGAAACATTGAATTAACTGTTCTAACTGTGCATAATGTTAGTGTTTTTTTTTTATCTCATAAAGTACCATTTTAAATACATTTTAGGTGTATTTAACTTTTGAGTGCAATACACTTGTAGTTAACAGGTTAACTGCTAGTGTATATAATCTGCTGTCAAGTAAAAGATATACTAAAGGACCAAGTATATATTGAAAAACAGCCAAATGTTCTGCCTGTAATTCATCTGAGACGTAACCCTTAAGGCAAGGGTCGGCAACCCAAAATGTTGAAAGAGCCATATTGGACCAAAATAAACAAAAAACAAATATGACTGGAGCCGCAAAAAATAAAAAACCTTATAGTGAAGGCAACACATGCTGTATGTATCTATATGAGCTATATTAGCCTGCTATCAACATGACTAAGTTGGCTAAAAATACACAACGAACATTCAGGATTAAAAGTTTTTTTTTTTTCCCTGCAGTTCATCCTGTAGAGGAGGGGTACCCAAACTTTTTGGACGGAAGATCTACTTCCTGCAATCGACTGCACATGCGCGCATATGCACACACGTACACACGCATGCCGTCATGAGCAACAGCCATAACGGCCGCTAAGAGGGCACGGGGTGCACTTTCGCAGCGTGCTAACTATCGTAGCTCACGTGTACAGTTTAAAAATGCTAGCTCACGTGTACCTTTTAAAAATGCTTCTCTTGGCCGCCCAGATTCCCATTCTTAGCAAGTACCCTCGGTGAATTGTACATGAAAGGCAGCTGTGGTTTGTTTTTTTTTTTTTTTTTTTTTACAACAGCCCCTTAACTGACATCCCACCCTGCTAATAGAAACGTGTGTCGCAGGCTAGGACGCAAATATTCGTTGACAAAATGTTGACATTTAATATTTATTCGACACATTTTTACAGCATCGAAAAACGTTAAAATGTTTGTGTCATGTTTGTCCTGTGACAGAAACCATATTAAACAAAAACATATATTTCCCTCCCATCTTTTTCCATTTTCAAACATTTTTGAATAAGCTCTAGGTAGCCACTGTGGGGCGCTAAAGAGCCGCATGTGGCTCGTGAGCCGCGTGTTGCCGATCCCCACAAAAAAAAAAAAAAACACGTTATTTTATTCATTACTTTTGAAAAAAATCATCAGCCAATTATTCAATTATTGGAATATTGACCCACCAAATATGAAAATCGACCTATGGGGAAAAATATAATTCCATATCGGTTTGTTCATATTCAAGTATTTAAGCACACCGTTTCTGTTCAAACCTTGCATAATGTTACCACGGCTTACTAAAATATTCCATGTACTTTTTAGGAATACAGCAGCTGCCTCGTTTATTTGTGAACATTTTAGCCTACGACTGTATGTCCTTTATTACAACGTTGATCACAATGGTGCTACTTGGAGACCTACGTATTTTTATTAGGTGGTACATTAACACATTAAAAAAAACATCGCTGGTACTGGGTGTTCAACAATTAAGAGTAATACTGATTATATTATGTTATTGTATTAGTAATACAGGGCGATAGTTTTCCTGGCCTGGACAAATGCTGGATTACAAAACCGCCACTTGACATTGCTGATTATCACGACGCACATCCTTTTAATTAGTACTGGAAATTCGCCCAAACTACAAATCCGTGTTATAAAGTGTCTTACTAATGCAAAATTTAGACAGTAGGTACCTGAGTGAGAGGAGTTCCTTCGGCGTTGCAAGGCCATGGCGGATTAAGCAGCAGCAAAAGCAACAATGGAGACGGCAGCTGCCACATCACGTCCACCTGCACACTGGGGAAATGTCAGCGTTTCTCTTTGCTCTTCGGAAGGAGAGAGAGACAGAGACGTAATGGTTTGAGGACGCCCTTTAATGACGCCATTGACTACAAGGAGGCGCAAATACATCAGTTATTATTTGGATCAGACTACAGTTATTAATGAACATATACACTATGCTTTACCATGTTATTAATGTTTTCCCTACGCAAGTTTTGATTTAAATTGCCTTATCAATGCTGCGCCAATAAACAAAGTACCGTAAAAGTACATAAAAAAGTTTTGAGGAAGAACCTGAAACTGAGCACTGATGAAGTTAATTTGACTATCTTTAAATTTATGAATGCACAGGGTTTTAGAGTTTAAGTCGTTTTTGAACAACTTGCTGTTCTCTGAATAACAAAATTTACGTGTAAGTTTATTTTCTCCAATAGCAATTCTAATTGAACCGGGACACGTATTGGTCGATCCATGCATGAAACACTTGTGAATTATCTTGTTCGGCTCCTTGTTAGAGAACACCGAGTTGTCAACTCAAGTCACATTTATTTAAACAGCCCTCGATAACAAACAGTTTCAAAAGGCTATTACTGATATTGTGAAAGTCATCAAATGTATAGAAATAAAAATAGTAAAAGTATTGGTCAAAATAGAAGTAACGATTCAACAGCTTTCCTTAAGTACAAGTAGACGTAACAGACTCGGTAGAAGGCGTCTTTGGTGTTGTTGTCGGCATCCAAGGTGGGGGCATAGGCACTGATCAAAGTAGCAAAGCGTCCTTTCACCAGGGGAATACGCCAGGTCATAAGCCGCTCACTGATGCCTTGGGGGGACTCAGGAATGTTGACGAGTAGTTTGCTTCTTACAGCAAAGCCAACTCCGTGGAGTCTGCGTTCATCCTCCGGGAGACCCTTCCAGAAGAAGGTGTAGCCTTCACCAACCTCTGTGAGTGAGTCCTCACCAGAGAACCGAGTCTCACTAAGTGCCGCAATATCTATGTTGTACCTCTTCAGCTCATGTGCAATGAGGGCAGTCCGTCTTCGAGGTCTCTCTATCCCGTCTCGAACATCGAGGAGGGTGCGGACATTCCAGGTAGCCAGATTCATAGTCCTGGGTTTCGTTTTATTTTTGCGTTTTCGACCGCATAGTAGGGATGCCTTGGTGGCTGCGGTAGGCCACCCGGGTGTGGGGGGAACAAGCAATGTTTGGGTCACCTTTTCTAGACCCTTCCCCTGTAAGGGGTGGGCAGTGCGGACCCTAAATAGGTCTGCCCAGACGCACAGGATGCTGCCGAAGGAGGATGTTGTCCCATCCCATCTTCACGACGACCATCATGCCTGCGCCGCCTCTGTGCAGGATTCAAGCTAGAAGCTTCCAGTCACATCCTTGACCTGCCCCCGTTACTTTTGTCCCATCGCCAGAGGACTTCTATGGTGGAAGCTGAAGCCTGCGCTGCTAATGGATTTAGTGTGAGGGGCGGGGCGCGCAATTCCTCCCCCCACAGTCTTGGCCACACACACCTTATTCCAGTGGCAGGAGAAAAGACTCGAGACGACCTTCAAGTGAGTGCGGTTGCAGGGGACTGCCAGAAATCCAGTCTGTCGGGAACCTGCCCAGTGTGAATCCCCGGAACACAGATTTTTCGTTAGGGGTTTACTCCCGTAGCCATACGCCCCCCCGGGCTTACCCACATGGCAATGGGGCAGTGGATGGTGAGGTGCCAGGGCGTGTCCACACTGTAGTGGGCCTGCACACCTCACCTCTAGGGTCCACTGCTGCTCCGAGATCCCCTACTGGTTTAGCCTGGCCTCGCAGGAGGCCAGTTACCGTGCGATGCCACGAGGAGGCACAATAGGAGTCTTGGTGAAGGAGAGGCTATGTACTGACCTCGGAAGACTTACACACTCGGCTTCCTTTACCCAAACTGGGTTGGTCAGCGGCAGGAACTAAGGGAGGGAAGTTACATGCATCCCTACATGCAACGTCTCACTAGCATGCTGCACTAGACGCATCACTACCACCCTACGAGCTAGGCCCGCAACACACCGGTCAAAATAGAAGTAACGATTCAACAGCTTTCCTTAAGTACAAGTAAAAAGCACAGACTCGGAAATGTACAGTGGTGTGAAAAAGTGTTTGGCCGCCCCACCCCCTTCATCTTTTTGCATGTTTGTCACACTTATGTGTTTCAGATCATCAAACAAATTTAAATAGTCGTCAAAGATAACACAAGTAAACACAAAATGCAGTTGGTCAAAATAGAAGTAACGATTCAACAGCTTTCCTTAAGTACAAGTAAAAAGCACAGACTCGGAAATGTACAGTGGTGTGAAAAAGTGTTTGGCCGCCCCACCCCCTTCATCTTTTTGCATGTTTGTCACACTTATGTGTTTCAGATCATCAAACAAATTTAAATAGTCGTCAAAGATAACACAAGTAAACACAAAATGCAGTATTGAAATCAAAGTTTTTATTATTAAAGGGAAAACAAAATCCAAACCGACATGGCCCTGTGTGGAAAAAGCGTTTGCCCCCTAGACCTAATAACTGGTTGGACCAGCCTTAGCAGCAATAACTGCAATCAAGCGTTTGCGATAACTTGCAAGGAGTCTTTCACAGCGCTGTGGGGGAATTTTATCCCACTCATATTTACAGAATTGTTGTAATTCAGCCACATTGGAGCGTTTTCGAGCATGAACCGCCTTTCTAAGGTCATGCCACAACATCTCAATAGGATTTGGATCAGGACTTTGACTAGGCCTCTCCAAAGTCTTCATTTTGTTTTTCGTCAGCCATTCTGAGGTGGACTTGCTGGTGTGTTTTGGATCATTGTCCTGCTGCAGAACCCAAGTTCACTTTAGCTTGAGGTCATGAACAGATGGCTTGACATTCTCTTTCAGGATATTTTGGTTAGACAGTAGAATTCATGGTTCCATTTATCACAGCAAGTCTTCCAGGTCCTGAAGTAGAAAAACGGCCCCAGACAATCACACTACCACAACCATATTTTACTGTTGCTATGATGTTCTTTTTCTGAAATGTGGTGTTACTCTTACGCCAGATGTAACGGCACACACACGTTCCGAAAAGTTCACCTTTTGTCTCGTCAGTCCACAGACTATTTTCCCAAAAGTCTCAGGGATCATCAAGATGTTTAATACTTTTGCTTTTTGGTCTATTGATATAGATCTGAGCAGCATTTGCAGTGTTATGTTACACATATGTGACTCTAGTTGCCTATTTGTAGATTCTCATTCCACATTTAGATAAGATAAGATAAGAAAACCTTTATTCGTCTCGCAATGGAGAAATTCCCAATTCACAGCAGCAAATTTATTCCTTGTAGTTACAGATACGAATTGTTTTTACATATTTGTGGACTGAGAAACGCTTTTGTAATTTTTTCTACAACAATGGCTCCATATTTTTGCATTTATGAAATGTATTATTATTATTATTATTATAATTATTATTATTATTATTATTATTATTATTATTATTATTATTATTATTATTATTTCCTGCCCTAATTATTTGTGAAAGTGGGTTTAATTCCAGCATTGACCACAAGAGGTCAACATGGAGCTCAGGTTTGGCTTCCAGAATACAGTAGCCGACCAGCCGTGACAAGCACAGAGATGGCGTCGCTTCTGCAACCAGACAGAGTCGTCTATTTGGTTCGTGGAGAGAAAAAGATCCGGGCTCCTCTATCCCAGCTGTATTATTGTCGTTATTGCAGTGAGCTACGATCCTTAGAATGTGTATCTCACGAGGTACGTTATCTGTTTTTCTCCATTGGTTTTGACGCTGTAGCATTGTAGCTTTTTCCCCTCTTTTGGCTACTGTGTCTTTAGCCGGCTTGCTAACAGGTCTGACTGATAGGTGGGGTCATTGGGTGCTGTCTCGTGTATGGATTGGCTTCGCATCCTGCCAGTCGGGCAGTGTCAAACAGTCCCTTCATTTCACTGGCTGTTTGTGTGCGGTTTAACTTCCGCTTATGTTCCTAGCGCTCGCTTCGATGGGCGTTTTAAGCTAATTAGCCTTGCGTTTGCTAACTGTTAATCGTTGATGAGTTGATTCAATACCGTGACACAAACGTTGCAGTAAACATTAATTGTATTTTATCCTACACCCAGGTGCTATTCCATTTGTCAGCGAAACTTGTTAATTTCGGCACCAATAACGAACACCACACCCAGAAACGCCAAAATTCAGCTTCCCTAAACTTAAGAATTTCTTAATTAACTTTTGTTTTCACCGGCTTGATATCTTTGCGATTTTTATGACAAAATTCCAAAATATGCATGAGTATATGTAGATATAGTACATGATTGATCTCGTTGTTCTCTAATTGATAAGCTTTTGCCACATCATCAGTAATGCGTTTGACTTGTCTTCCACAATAACGTTGTCCAAGGTTGTCAACATACTGTACAAATAACTGGACCTTCATTTCTACCCCCCAACCACTCACTGATCAGGTGGACTCCCATTATTGCCCAAGCTGCTTGGAAAACATGCCATCTGCAGAAGCTAAACTAAAAAAGAACAGGTGAAGTTAATTTGACCTTGATCTACATATCTCCAAAGTAGATATCACAAGTGGTCTTTTTGTAATACTCAGTTGATTTGCTTTCCTCCACTATTGGTGTTGCAGGTGTGCCAACTGTTTTGACTGCCCATGTTGCATGCACACCCTGTCGACTCGGGCCACCAACATCCCGGCTCCTCTTCCCGATGACCCCACCAAGACGGCTATGAAAAAGGCGTACTACCTGGCCTGTGGCTTCTGCCGGTGGACCTCCAGGGATGTAGGAATGGCTGACAAGTCAGTGGGTGGGTGCCGATCTGTTATATATGGTACATGTGACTATGCCCATGTTGAAAGATGATTTCTTCTAATTCTGTTTTTGTTCATTGCAGCCAGCGGTGGGTGGCAGGAGCCTGACAACTGTCATAATCAACGGGTATGGCCCCCACCCCCCTTCCCTGTTGGCAGTCATTTACATTGCCTTGGGTTGATCACATGTTTTGATGTGCTGAATAGATGTCTCTGACAGGATCCTTGGAACAGTCAGCAGCTCATAAGTGTATCTTTGTTCAGTAGAACATGTGTGGTTCAGCACAATCTGCTGTATGATGAAATCAAAAAATACTCAGCCTTTCAAATGTGACGAACATAGCTTATAAGAGTGAAAAAAGGGAATTGCTCAAGGCTCTTATGTGTGAGTGGTAGCAGTGTGTGTCCTATAGGGCTCTTTTTTAATACATTTTGAAATATAGTTCCTTTAGACATGTCAGAGATGATTGGACAATTTCCCACATTGAAATACTTTGGAGTATTACTTTTTCAAATTTTAAGACTTTGTAATACTTCACACTACTTCTTGACGTATTTTCAGGCATTGTGGTGAAATTTTTATTTGAAGTCCGAATAGAGTGGCTTTAGGGTTGCTTCGCTTTAGATTAGTTCCACTGTAGCTCTTACAAACACCAACGAATCTTGATATTGGACATTTTAATTAAAATGGCTGTCATGACCCATTGACTGACTGTATATACTGTACTTGGCATCCAAGAACATGTCATTTTCGTAACTGAACATTAAAAAAAGTCCTCGATGTGAATTTCTCTTTGCCTCAGATCAACAAGCTGATGGAGTATTACCAGCAGCTGGCTCACAGAGAGAAGCAGGAGCGAGATAGGAAGAAGCTGGCCAGGAGACGACAGTGCACGCCTCTGGCTTTCTCGGTACTCACTTTCCACTGTGACAAACAAAAAGCCATTTGAACATTACATTTTTAGAAATGTCACAGATAAATGTTCTTGTGACAAGAAGGAAGGAAATTGATTTCACACATGGGCCAAAAATATGACTTAGACCATTATTTTACAGTTACAGGGTGACAATATACAAAAAGTCTTAATAGCAAGTATTTCGTGACAGCAGCCTCACATTTTGTTCCATACAGTGCTGAACAAATTTTTTGGATGACCATCCAATGTACTATTTTATATTACAGTGCCCAAAATTAGGAACAAAATAATTTTTCGATGTTTCTCTGATAGTTATTATACCAGTAGGTAGATGCGCTACAGCTAAAATTGTATCATTTAAATGATTTGGTTCTCCATTAATTTTCTAATGTACACTGAAAAAACATAATAATACAAAAGTGAATAGCACATTATTTCTCATTTTAGATGTCAAATGAAAAAAATATCTATCTTTCGTAGTTGAATTTGCTTGATTCGTTTCTGACTGCCCAGTCTGCTGTGCCAAATTTGGGTATTAAAAGGTGAATTCAGTTAGGTGTTTGTCATTGTGAAACTTGGAGAGCTCACTGAAATCGGAAGAATCCTCATTAGAGCAGGTGATGATGCTGAATGGTCTCTTCGTTTTTGACGGATGCCCTAAAATTTGTGAAGCACTTTTGTTGTATATGACACAGTGTCTCAGAACCATTCACACAATGTTATGCATAACCAAGTTAACTTTTCTCTCATATACACCCACAATCAGTTTGCCTCTATGCTGAAATTGTGATGTCCTCCATGCTTTTTTTTCTTAAACAGAAGTTGCACTGTTTATTGCTGTTGCACGTCCACTGATGTTTGCCCAACCTCTTCATGCATCTTTATTCTCTCCCTTTTCCTTTGCTAATGCACCCCGGTATTTTATTTTTGACCCCTACCAGCAACACACAATTCATGTGGTGGTGAGTTGTATTTGCCTATTTGCAGTTTAGTATGCAATGCTGATTTCTCATTAGTTAGTGTGTGACCTCACAGATCACATGAATGCCCCTGTAGTGAAATCATAGCCACACAGTGGAGCCTTTTTGTGAAGGTTAGCAGGGGAGAAGAGACATTTTAGTGTGAAATGAAACGTAATGTTGAAAACAAAAATATCAAAATTCCAACAACCTATTCAGACAGATATATATTGTGTTACCTATTTCACAACGCTTCACTCACAGTTACTACACAAGTCATTTTACTCCCTATTTAATTTTTTTTGCCATGTCCAAATCTACTATGATCTTCATGGAGGTTCATTGAATTTCCTGACAATTGCATAGCACTCTTGTTTGATTGTTTTTGAGTGTTGCAACACCCAAAATGCTTTTTTCATTGCTAGTGGATTTCAAAAAGCAAAACATTAAACTGACGTTAAGATCGAGCTTTTTATTTACTTACTTATTTATTTATTTATTTATTTATTGTCAGTAGGTTACAAAATGCTGGAAAAATTTTAGCGCCCTGTTCAACTCCAAAAAAATATCTGCACAACACAAAATTTCAGCGTTAATTCTCTCCTGCTATCCTCGGCAAAAAGGTTTTTGTCTCATCATATAAATTCGTTGCTTCTGAGTCCCTCCGTTAAAAGTAGCCTGTACAGGGAAGAAAAAAGTAGCTGTAGAATAAGAAGCCTTACTTGTGCTGAATACACCAAATATATGATCTTGTTCTTCCTCGGTCATGCAGGAAAAGTATGGCCTTGGAACACGACTGCAGCGGCAGAGGTCTGGAATGCCCATTTCCACTCTGGCGGGGCTTTCGTGAGTTACATTTTGCATTATACCCTAAACTAAACATTTTTTTTGGGGGGGGGGGTATTAAAATGAAGGATTGTAAGGCATCGTGGATACTTTTGTCTTACTGGTAAAAGGGAAATTCATTATAAGGAAATATGTATACCACATGCCCAAAGCCTGCTGGAATAGACTCCATCACCCGTGACCCTAATGATTGAAAAGGGTTGGATGGATTGGACTCTTGATTGCTGGACATGTTTCTTTGCAGCCTTAAAGAGGGGGAGGACCAGCGGGAGATCACCATTGAGCCTGCTCAGGCTTTTGATGAGGTAGAGCCTCTGCCAGAAGATTGCTACACGAGGCCCGTCTGCTTGCCAGAAGGTAAAGCTTTCCACTCTTTACTGTTTGGACACTTCTGTGATGGGTTTGTTGCACTAATTGGAACCAACAGTTATGCAAGACTGGGCCGTTCTTGTATTAATCAAATACAAAATAAAATAAAAAAAAAAAAGATGATTATTCCTACACGCTGCAAGTCATCTGGGTTTGAGTGGAAGATTGGGGATTTTTCAGATCAATGAAGACCGCAATCAGAGCCTGTAAGCACGCTTCCAAAGCACACGAACGTGGTTGAGAAGGAAAAAAGGTTTCATGTTTCAATGAATCAGCAGAGTCCTGATCTCTATCCCATAGAAAACCCCTGGACAAAGCGAATATCTGCCATGTGTGTAAGAAATCAGGCAAGCGTTCAAGTGCTTCACTGCAAGTAAAGGTTAGGGATAAAATATCGTTTGACAGGTGCAAGAAGCTTAAGATGTGCTTTCAAGAAAGTTTGCTGGCAGTCGTCCTTATTAAATGGTTAGCTGCAAAATATTAACATGTATTATTATTATTAAAGAAGGTCACCTATATTCCTGTCCAAGGATCTGAATACATACAATCAGTTAATTAGTTTTATCAATTACGGTTGTGCACAACTCAGATTCATAATACGGTGATGATATGTTTCCCAAACCGAAGGCAAGGCACCCATCTTACATGAGAAAAACCTGCTGGCACACCACTCAACAAAGGTGTCACCAAAAGTATAAATACTCAAATAATGATTTTGTCTCCATTTACTCGCAAACTTACTCACTCAGTGGGAAATCTGGGCTTTTTTAATTGAACACAAATCTGATGTATTCATAGGAAGTCATGAGATGTCATGAGGCTTCGTTTGTTGTATTAAGGGCAGCAGATGGATACACAGGTTTATTGTACCTTCTGCCGTCTAATGGAGCAGCATTAAATTGTTCTGCATTGTTCACTATAGGTCACTGGCGTAGTGAGTGTTTATCATTAATAAATACATTTCCAACAGATTGAATCCAATAGGTTGCCACCGCATCCTCGTAGGGGGTCACTGTACTATATAGGGATGATCATACAACTTTGTTTCAGACCGATATCCATACCAAGTACTGATACCATGAGTACTTTCGATACATAACATTTCAAATTAACAAATTAAGTCTTTCTTTCTGACGCGCATGATTATTCGCCAATGTGTCAAACGGCTGCATTGTAGCACTCGCTACTGCCAGGGAGGACTTACTCCATGTCAGATTTATTTTTTGCCTGAAGTATTGATGGCTGGTATCGGTGTCCTTCATGAGTAAACAATACCTTGAAATAAGACCGGTATCAGGAAGACCGATGCTGGTATCAATACTCGCCTGTCCCGAGTATAATACCCAACCCTCCCCCCCGGAAAAAAAAAAAAGTACAAATAATGGTGGCCAGAACTGTGTATACACACACACACACACACACACACACACACCTAATAGGTTGATTCATATTTCATAATTTGAAGGTTTTTTTCTCTTTGTAGTGACCCGGCTGCGCCAGCGCCTCCTGCAGCCGGACTTCCAGCCCGCAGGAGCCTCGCAGCTGCACCCGCGGCACAAACACCTCCTAATGAAGCGCTCGCTGCGCTGCAGGGTCTGTCAGCGACACGCCGATTCAATAATATAGATGACATGTTTTGATAGATTTGAATTTCATGCGGATGTTCTTGTTCGTTTTTCTTCCCCTCAGAAATGCGAGCACAATCTGAGCAAGCCGGAATTCAATCCAACTTCAATCAAGTTTAAAATTCAACTGGTGGCTGTGTGAGTGGCGAGCATCGCACATACACATTGAACATGCATTCAGTAGTCGGTCGCACCGTTTAGGTACACCTGCCCCAACTTCTGAGATTCAGTGAACAAGTTGTCCTATTTATACTTGTTTGTGTGCAGCAGTGAAGATCTTTCAGTGTCATTGCAGCATGCTCTACTGCAACGATTTGGGCAAACATTAAGAATATAAATTCAAGTTATCGATTTTTAGTATGTAATCAGAAATTACCAGTGCTTTTCTTTGTTGCTTCTTTGGCTATGGTGATTTAATGTCCTTGAGAAATGCTCTTATTTGCAGTTTTCCCCAGGGCTGTTTATTTTATATTGCTTTCTACTACTGTTTGTAGCGTTTGTAGTTTTCCATTTTGCACATGAAATGAAAAGTCTTTTTGTGATTTTGGCAATTGTTTTTATAATGAACTATACATCTAATTCTACCTTCTGTAGGAGTTACATCCCCGAAGTTCGAATTATGTCCATTCCCAATCTGCGCTACATGAAGGTGAGCCTGTCTAATTAGATGTTGGAAAAGGTATCAACATTTAATGTGCTGTACTCATTTATTCTTTCTGTCCATACTTTGATGGGTGGCAGCTGCCAAGTGGCTAGCCCGTATGCCTCGCATGCATGGGTCACATAGTGTGGCTGTAAGAAAGGATGTTTGTTTACATGTGCCCTGTGATCAATTGGTGTACCCCGCCTCCCTCCGAAAGGGCACTGGGATACGCGCCAGTGCACCAGCAATCTTAATCAGGTCAAGTGGTTGAGAAAATGGATGGATGTGTACATTTCTACATGTTGTAATGCAACAAACCATCTTATTCTAATGTTTACAAAATGCCTCCAACACAAATGTTCATGAAATCGCCAGGGAAACCGTGGCTGGTTCCATGGAGTAGCAGCGATGTCAGCTGAACGCTTTGCTCTCTTATCACTGTAGGAGAGCCAAGTGCTGCTGACTTTGACCAACCCAGTGGAGAACGTCACCCACGTCACGCTGGTTTCTTGTGATGAGGAAGATCCTGATGACAACAGCACTGCGGAGGTAGTACAGCCGTCCCTGCCCTCAAATCCTCTTTGTCACACATTTAAATAGTGACTGTTTATTTGAATATCATGAGTTCCTGCAAAAATGCAAAATGGCCTCCCGTTTGTTTTTGAAGCGCTTGTTAAAGATACATGATTAAGGGTCCAATCTTAATTAAGACCAGGGAAACACATCGAAATACAACAATCAACAGTGATTAACTGACATGTTTTTGCGGGCATGTGTTAATTTGCCTTATTCATCCAGCGGCTGAAGTGAATTACTGTACTCACACCGACATCAGCAGTCAGCAGCACTTTTGGAAAATGCCGCAGGGGAAGACTACCTGGCCAAGTGAGCAACTGTGGAACGGAAAAATACTTCTTTGGCTTTCATGGACGTTTTGGGATTGTATTTGCTCGGCTAATCCAAACATTCATATGTCTTGGAAATTTAGGGATTTCCGATCTCACCTCTGTGCTTTGTTTGTAATGCATGTGTTTTCTTCGACTAACAGACCAGGGGTGCCATTGAAATTAGGTGTATCCGAAGTTCCAAGTCCCTCTGGCATTGATGTAACAAATATACACTTACCTTCCTATAATAGCGGTGGATGCTAGTGGAAGCGAGGAAAATAGCATAAGATTTCGTCAATCAATGTATTCTGTTTTCAGTTACATTTTCCAGTGTCCCATTTTGATTGGAATTGGGTTTCGACGGTATGTTTAAAAGAAAAAACACATTTGTAGCTTTGAAAAGTGCTTTGAATTGCAGCAAGTGCTGCCATCTTTTTCTTGGCCATCTGGACCTGGCAGTGTTTCTCTCATAGGGGAGTCAGATCCAGTTTGAGTTCCATTTGTCAGCCGTCATAGGACCATTTGATCAGCGATGCGATTCCATTCGACTACAGTCGGCTGAGCCCCACATGTTGCCGGCGGCCGCTCCAAAGCTTGGCCCGGCCCAGCCCACTGCGACAGCCTGTTTGTCTTGGCCCCTTTTAATGATGAAGTCACAGGCTGTGACTAGATTAGTCAGAGCTCCTGGCCAAACCAAAAGCTTGACCCATTTCGAGACGCATTGCGGCTAAAGTGAGTGTGCAGTTGTCTTTCTGCTTCATTTGATATTCAAACACCTGGAGGGCCTTGTGCTCGACTGCTTACATTGACCAGCTCTTCCGAAAATAAAGGGTAAGGGGGCGGGGGGTGGCTTGGCTCACCTCTAGGTGTGACATGATTTCGCTGACCCGTGCAGTCTACTAATTTGCTCATGACTCAATGAGTCAAATGTTCATTTTGCACATTCTATGCCGGGAGGCGACACGGCAACATCAGTCATGTCATGAACTTGCAGACCCCGGTCAGGGTCCAGGTTGGGATGTGATTTTTTTTGACAATTATTATGAATTCATTGTGGGATCATACACCTCAAAAGGGAAATAATTGTCAAACAACTATCAGTAAGCTTTAATGATTCACACATGATTATAAACAACCGAACTCTCGATGGTGACGGAGGAGAGGTAAAACTGAAGGACCACATGCCTCGCATTCTTTAATATTAACTGTCACACAAGTATAAGGAGGAAGAGTTGAATTCAAATCAAATGGACAGCGTCAATGTCCTTTCTTCACATAATGGCCGTTCAATATACAGTACAGTACAGAGCAAAATACTGACAAATGCTGGCCAAAAGTGCTTGGACACTGAAAGTGCGTCAACTTCACTTTGCCTCGCAGTAACTTCTCAAACATTTTTTTCTTCTCGTTTCCCTTCCCTCCGTCGTCTCGTTTCAAACTAAGCGGAGCAAAAAGTCAAAGGAAAAAGCAAGACAGAATTAGTCATGTGGTGTCGGCTGAAAATAGCTCGATGGAGGTGCTTTTCGCTCCTTGTTTGAAGACAACAAATGGTGCGGCAAACATGAGTTGAATACACACACAGCCCACGTCTGCTGATGTAGACTGAGCGCTTGCCTAATATGCTGACGTCACATATGATCACGGTGAGAACATCAAAAACGGTTCCAACTTTGGGGGAGATAATTTATTTTCTATACAGGAACAGGAGGCAGGAAGTGAAAATACAGACCACCGCACAGTCTCTGTTGGTTGGGGCGAAGGGAAATTGGAAGGAAAGATGAGAGTCTTGCTTTCTGTTGAAATCTATCTCAGTCGGGGGGTAATTAAACCAAGAAGGTGAAGTGCGCCGGTTTGAAAAAGGGAAGTGCGTTTCTTCTTCACACTGTGACTGTAACAAAAGGTGATTAAATCAGGTCGCCGTGGCATGGTGGCCTCTAGAATAAGTCAGATTTTCCTCCTCGGTGCTCAATTAAACAAGCCCAGGTTTCCCAACAAAATAAATTGAAAGAAGATTGTCATTAGGTCTTTATTTTTTTTGGGCAGGGGGGTATGAGTGCTATGAGGTTTTTTCTTTTGTAAAATGGGTGCCTTGGCTCAAACACGCTCGACGGTGCAATTAACCTGAGTTGCTATTCTTGCAACAGAATAATAGATTTGCATTTAACTAAAAATGGTCTAGACTTCAGTTACATTTGTGAGTCAGTTGAGTCAATATCATAATTAATAATTTAAAGATGAGGCTCCCGGGTGACCTCATGCAAGAGGTGAGGATTGAGCATTTGGCTGACGTTTGTTTTGAAGGTCATCGTGCCGCGCAAGGAGCTGGTGTTGGCAGGAAAGGATGCTGCCGCTGAGTATGATGAATTGGCCGAACCTCAAGACTTCCAGGATGACCCGGAGTAAGTGTCTCACTCGTGCATTTCCAGAGAATTCCAACTGCGACTCAGCTTTACCCCTCTTCTGGTCTCTTCCCCAGTGTTGTTGCCTTCAGGAAATCCAACAAGATTGGTTTCTTCATCAAAGTGATCCCCCGCAAAGAGGACGACGCTGATGTCACTGCTTCATTTAAGATCCGACACGACTTCCGGGACCTCGCCGCTCCCGTCAGGCCGAGCGAGGAGGGTGCCGACGACACCGCCAAGACAATTTGGTTGACGCACCACGTCGAGCTGAGGCTGGGGCCACTTGTCCCCTGAATGCCCACAAACAGGGTTGCCTTCCAAAACTAATATTTCAAACTATTTCTTATTGCGCTTAATGAGGGTTGCAAATTGGCGCCAAATAAATTTCTGGTCAGTTTCCATCGGTCGATGTGGAATTGTGGAATAAAGTTTGCAAAGAATGAATGAGAATTGACTTTCCACTTCAGTTGAGCGGCCGCCTATCTGAAGCTTGTGTGTTATTAAAATTTTTGGTCACAACAAGGCAAAAAAACAACCCCCCCCCCCCCCCGAAAAATAAATAAAATAAAAATCCTACCAAGCGACAGCCCACAATTTATACTAAATTTGGTCTTGTATGGTGTTATATTTGGATTATGGTAAAATAATGTATATTTTCCCAACTACATTTAAATTCCCTGCAAAGAATCAACCTACAACTTGCTGAATTCCCATTTATTCCTATAAATTCCCACAGAAAGTCTCCAACTTTGAAAATTCACATTTGTAAACCCACCGTTGACTCAGTTTTGGTTTATTTTGCAGTTTTGGCCTTTGTTGCATTATCAGCTGCAGTTAATCTTACATTACGAGATAAGTACAAATAAAGCATCATGTCCAGCTTGACTTCACAACTAGTCCTGGACTATAAAATGTCAATATAATTGAAGACTCGTAGTTGATTGTGCCCTCTTCGCTGCTGCATTATTTTTCCCACCTCCTTTCCCCTTTTGAGTATCTATTTTGTATCAAGTTAAAAGCAACCGTTTGTCCTGAAGGTGTTTGCAGTATGATGAAATGCATAAAACAGCAGCAGCACGAATTTACTTGAAACTTGGCCGCAGAAAAGATGAGCAGAAGAAGAGATTGAATCAGAACAATCCATAACACTGCTCTCTCTTACACAAACACACACATGCGCGTGCCTGTAGCTTCCTCAGACAGTTGCGTTGCACTAACCCGCATGGATCATCTAGAATAAATATTACAACTGTCATTGCACACATACTGCTGTACTCTGCTTTGTTCTTTGGCAAATAGAGAGCTAACTGTTGAAACTACGAAAAGCTCTGTACTTGACAGTACGACTTGTCTTTTGGAGCTATGCTTTTTGATTTGTCTTAGTGTTGTAAGCTGCTGTCACTTTCGGTTCCATCTGTACCCTTGGTAAAATGAAGAGTAAAAATAAACGAGTTCTTCTGTATTGCCTAATAAAATAACATCCTGCAAGAAACGGTTTGGGTGTATTGAGTATTCTGTGAATTGGCTTCTACTAAGCTTGCACACATATATATGTATGTGTGTGTGTGTGCACGCGCGCGTGTGCGTGCGCGCGTATGGATGTATGTATATATATATATA